AGAGCATCAAACGCTTCTGTTCCGTCGCTCGCAAAATAATTCATTCCTTGAAGGGATTTTCTCGTTGAGGCTTTGCAAATCTCTAATATTTTGTAAAGCGATCTCGACTGCAGCGTAGGAAAATTCACATTAGTGTTTTCGCAATACGAATAATACTGGGAAATGATACGCGACGCGCACATATTGCGAATAGTGTTCGGTACAAAAAGGACTGTAGTAAAGAGGATCTTAATGGCGAACGGTTGGGTGACGTGGCGAATTTTTTTCTCGAATTCTTTGCTCTTCTTGAAGAGTTTCTGCTAGAGATCCACGTTCTCAAGCGTTCTTGCCATCCCGGCTCTTTCATCATCTCTTCATCCTGACATGTACTGTATCTAGCTAGCCAAGACGAAGTACTTAGGATACTCAGCTAAAACTATATTAGAGACTTCTCTTTTTTCTACCAATGACGGGTGTTACTTCCTTTACTCTTGAGTCTCACTGAACACTTGATGAATCTGCATGGGTGTAAGCTTTGCTTTCCGCACTCGACGTAGTCGATTGCATGTTAGTTATATGTGTGTCGTTTATTACTGCTGTTCAGACACAGCCGGATCAGTGCAGCGTAGTTCATACCAGAGACAATCACTTCGAAATAAATACTGCACGAATTTTGTTCCTTTCCTGCGTTGGATGTTTGTGATAAAGAAAACATATAGCAGAAGTTCGTAGGATGTTACATCACTTGATGGCGTCCGAATTATTTCGTTCAAATCGGATGATTAAGCGCGCTTAGCAAAACGACAAACTACGATAAACTCAGATTTTTTTATTTGACTGAAATTAATATATCAAACTGCGAATAATGCCGATCAGTTTAAAAACGTCCTCTACTTTGGCGTTCAGAACTATCAGTTAAGGTGAGCTTGGCGTTTTACGCCATGCTCGAGAGTTCTGAGGCTAAATAAAGAGAAAAATCAGCTTCGCTTGTTCCCCTCGACCAAGTCGAGTGGCTTCTAGTTCACTTTGTAGCACTCACTGCTTCGGTCCCACAGGGTAGAAAAATTGGCCAAAAAAATGAAATATAAAGTCGATAAAAAAACGTGAAAATATTCCTTGAAAAGACGCAAAATTGCTTAGTTAATGCAGGTGCCATTTTTGGTCGCATGAAGATGTATTTCACATATTAATAATGTAAAAAAGAAACTACGCTTAATATGTGGAATCACACTAATCCTTAAGTTGCATTTTGATAAACTCAATTCCCTTTTTTCCCATTTGATATGTCTGAGGAGAGCGAAACCAAAAATTGGGAGGCAAACCAAAAACGAGGAGCAAGCTCTTTTTTACTCTCTACGAAGTGTTAAAAAAAAGTAATTTTTCTGTTACTGCAAATAATTTACAGGAGACAACGTCTTCTTCCCGCAAATAAGTTGCAAATTAAGTCAGCCGAACATCGTTGTGCTAGCCGTAAATCGTATGAACGCTGAAGCGTTAACAGCACTTGCAAATTCCCCAATACTTTTTCGTTGCCTTTGTCTGATTTTTTCGTAACACACATACAGTGTAGTTTATCAATATCCAGACTCGCGAAAAAACACAGTCGATAATCAAAACAAGAGTCGTATTCTTTTATTATTCTGATTTATTTCCAACCGGAAAGCAAAGACAATCAGCATCAGTCAATTAAAGATGGTAGAGTGACCGTGTGTCATCTTGCATTGTAGATCTGGCAGGTTGATCTGGCATTGAAAAACGAGGGAGATGTTTATTTCTCCGGCCCACTAAGCAAACGGCGAAGCACAAAAAGAGTTTTACCGTTTTCGAAGCGATGTTTCTTTATGTTGAACATAGATTCATCGGCCAAGTCAACTACTTGTGTATCCAGGACCGCATACCTAGAAGACTTGATCGGATGATATAAATTTTGTCTCTCAGGGAAAACTTACTTTCCATCGAGAGTGCCCAGTTCTTTGGTCAGGGCGGAAATCAGGGAACGAAAGGTTACTGGTTCATCTAATATCATATTTTCATTAATTGACCCGAAACGTAAAGTGATATTGATCTTCTTGCTGTTGTCGTTGTTATTTCTGTCTAGAAGGCGAAAGGACAGATTTATTCCTCCTTTTCTCTCTCGTTGAACAACTCAAGAGTCTTTTTCTTTTCTCGTGTTGCCTCTTTACACTAGCTGGGGGAAAGCTGAGATGACCAGAAAAAAGAATAGGTTAACCGTGACTCAACCAAACAGGATCATGACGTAAGCAAAATAGGTGATATAGTGGTTTAAGGCACCAGAGAATAATACAATTTTTTAGTTATGGGCTGGTTAAATTCTTTCTCGCCTTGTGTTCATTGGAATTAAACTCAAGACGCTTGCATGCTCTTATAATATTTCATTCTTTTTAACTGTCGTGCATATCGTCCCGCTCGATAATGAGTACAAGCGCTTCGAGAAAGCGGTGACTGAGTGATAATGGTTCTAGACGGCGTGAGTCCTAACAAAGTTTACCATAGGTTTCAGTTGTATTTCCTGACCACGTGTTATTACTTGTATACTTTATCAAGCTCCTCTCTTCTTCATTTTGCCTTTGAAAGTTTCTTGTCAAACACGAACGGGTTTACCTGCTGGTTTATTGTGTTCGATAATAGTTGATTCGATGGGAGGTTGAGCATGATGATCTTGAAACACGAATCGGGCTTCTTTTTGTTTCTCGTGAATTTCTTTGAAGGCTTCTAGCACTTTTTCGAACTCATCTGGCTTGTCGGTTCGAAGACGCAGACTTGAACTGAGAATAACTGTGTACTTATCCTTGGCGATAACCAGTTTGTCGGCAGGAAGCAGGCACTCGACCGGCGGTTCAGAAAGATTGAAATCATCCACCAGCTCACACGTAAGCCTTATCGGTTCATGATCTTTCAGAAAGTTGGCAGTTTTTGTGCTAGAAATTTGACGTTGTTCGTTCAACAATTCGTTGATCTCTGCTTCGACTGAGGCTGCTTTCTCGGCCGTACTGCTCATGCGTGAGTTTTGAACGAGAACGGAAATCTTTCGTCGAAAACTGCCTTCGTTTTCTTCAAGTTTGAGCTATTCAGATAAAGAAAACGGTCTAATTTCCCGTACTTTACTAGTTTTTTAAATCAGGCTCGTTCATGACAACAAGCTTTTTTTTTACTCTGAAAAAACAAGAGTTTTCTATGAAAAAGAATTCGAAAAGCTTTCGTGAGACGAAATTGATGAGCGGACTTTTCCATGGTTCACTCGACTGAAGATCGCACAAGCATGGTTGACAAATTACAGCATTACTAGTAGGGGATAATGGCAAAAACGCGAGAGCTGAGAAACGGACTCACTTGTTGATCTTCTACGATGTCGACTTCATGGAGAGGAAGATAGTGCGAATAATGTTTGACGAGTTCAACGAGGCCGTTCATGCGCTGAGTATCTCGTAATAAATAGTCAAAAGTCTTTTCAATGCGTTTGACAAGCATTTCGTTCGTTTGGCGAACAGTAACCATTTCAAATGCGGACGGAAGCACGGCTGAAACATAGCGGGCCACTTCTTTAATGGGCGTCAATACAAAAGACAACTGGACACCTTTGCCTCCATTCATCTGTTTGATTTTATCAGGTATGCCTTTGAGAACCGTGGCAACATCGGCAACCGTAGCTGGTATTATATTCATCTGAACATCACCCACGAAAGTTATACTGAATTTATCCTTCACGTTATTTGATTTATCTTCCACTTCCACATCTGCTTTTCCCTCGATGCCCGATCCAGTATTCATGGCACCGATGCCCGGTCCAATATTCATGGCACCTTCTAGTTGACCGCCGATTTTCTGCAGATCGTTCTTGCCTGTTTTCTTTTGCTCAAATTTAGCTATGACATTGGCACCCCAAACGATCTCGGTGACAACGTGAGTGGCACGAGGATCGGAAAACGCCTCTTTGCATATACATTTTTGAACTCCTTTGTAACTTATATGAACTTTATCTCGTTTTGTAATAAGAGATGATGTACAAGTGAGACATTCATATCGATCGTTTGTATTGACTGTGCTCAAATAGTTGCCTTTGCCCGAGATCTTGATAATTCCACCCATAATGCTCAGCTTCAGTTCTGCTTGTACATCAAGATGCTTGAATGTGGACGAGTAGTTGTTCTCGTGATCAAGATGAAAGTTCTGTGTATGACAGTCGACTGTTGATACAACGTCATCTGGTAGTTTGGAATCGAATATTTCAGCTCCAAGGAATTCATCCCTACGAATATTGTACAAGGAGCCAAGATACCCAACACGATTCAGGGCCTGTCGTGTGATAACGCCCGTCTCTAAGTCCATTACTGAGCAAGGTTGATGTTTCTTTTTGGTGTGTTGCGTTGTCTTGAAAAAAAGAGAGAATTGTGTGGTTTTGATGTTGAAAGAGTGAGTATATTCACTCTTATCAGTTCTGTTTTTCCTCTTGTTTTTTTATAACGCTCATAAGGTGTGGACGGTATGAGAAAGAGTGTATGTACATTGAGTCACTTACTTTCATTTAAAAAGCATAGTTTCTTTTGACAATCTCGGCGTTCTTTTCCCTCGCCTCTTTTAATTTTTTTCTTAAAGGAAGAGTGAGGTTAGGTAGTTAAAAAAAGGTCTACGGCTACTCATTATTACCAGAACATTTTCTTTTCTATCTCTGAATCAGAGCGACACGCATCAGAGGATCTTTCTTCCAAAAAAAATGAAAGATAGCTCAGAGCGTGTAGATATACCATTCGAAGTTTTTACTCCGATCTTACCTTTCGTTTTTCTTTTGCTAGAATCAAAACAGTGCAACCAGCTATTCCTTCAGTATAGTTGGCAGATGCAAAAAACGAACTAAAGAAGAGGAGAAAGTCGCTAATGATCACTTCATCTTTCTCTCTTTTTCTCTATTCAATGAACCAACAAAAAACTTTTACTTTATGAAACTAAATTTTGGTAGCACACTGTGAAGTTAACCACGAATTTCGAAGGACATTTTCAAGAGAAGCACGACATCAACCACTTTGGACGATCTAATGATATCACCATAAGCTGATAGCGTCGAATTAATGACAATAGAGAAATTCGTGAATATGTCCAAAATCCGGAATAAAAAACCCGGAATGGAAAAAGCTGAATTAAAAAAATAGCGCAGGTCAAAAATTTGAAATTAATTTTTTTTACTGGGAGTTCGCATATTTCCTCACGGAAAACCTTTTTCGGGAAAGTGTTGGTAAATTTTTTGGCACGAAAGACTACTTACCTTGTGGAAAAAACAACTCATTTTTGGACGAAAAGAAACACTATATGCTATAAATAAGTTGTTGTCCCATAGAATACGTAAGATAAGCAGTTTTTTCTATCAAAAATTTACAAACTCTTTCCCGTAAGTTTTTTAGCGGTGTTCTCCCAGTGAAAAATTTTTCCGATTTTGTACCTTCGGATTTTTCGAGTACGGATTTTTCACCTGTGGGTTTTCAGCTTCCGGATTTTGGGACTGTACTAAACTCGTCACCACCTGTCCATGCTAGCAAAAAAAGAGATAAAATAAGAGTAAAATCGAGAACTTTCGTTAAGAATAAGAAATTTTCTGATGCGGAAGGAATAGAATCAAATCCAAATAAAGTATGCTACAGAAAACATGCTTTTGCTCTTTTGTGTTAATATGGATTCAACTGGATTCAACTGGCAGCTCTTCAAGCTCTATCGAATGATGTGTGTTCCAAAAAATCTATTGTCTGCTTAAATTTTTCATTGCGCGCAGTTCATTATCACACATACCAACTTCTCACGCTCTGTTTGGTTTCGTCGGTCTCATTATCCTTTGCTCCACTACTCTAATGAATGTTTTTCGCTTGATTTTTCCTCTTCACATGTGGGCAAATACAAGAACTCAGCGCAAAGCAATTGTCCGCCAATGAGTTAGCTAACGGGCTCAACGGCGGCAGCCGAAATGCCTCGGGGAGCTGAAGTTACACCGTCAATCATAGTCTGAATAGTTCGACCACAATTGCAATTCTGAATCCCCCACACTTTATGTTTTCTTAATCAGGACTTTATACATTTTGGAATGAAGTAGGTTTCCAGGTTTGCGATGAAAGTTAATGTAATGGTTAATGAAATTAAGCGTCTTGCTAAGCTAAATGGATATCCAAAAAAGTTTATTAATACACATAGCGGTATAGGAGTCAGTAAATGGTTAGATAAAAGTAATTGTAAGGGTGAAGTTATCTCTACAGCACTAGACAATGAAAACAAACAACATTTATGTTGAGCTTCCGTATGTAGAGTCCTGTGGGACGAACTTTTCTGTTGCCCCGAGCCCGAACATGAAAACTTTTGTTCCGCCCCGTAAGCCCGACCCGGTGAGTGAATAATGTAATCCAGAACCCGTCTGTCCTGTGAAAAAATTTACGGGCTTTTTTGTCCCGTCATTTTTTGAAAATATTTTTCTGTTGTGATATACCGTAGCTTAAAGTCTCAAACTTATTTTTGCAAAAGATCCCTATGACAGGTGATACATCCACGCACTACCTCAGAAGCGAAAGGAAAGAACTGTAAATCTAGTCTTAGATATGCAACATCTTCACAACTTAAAATCCAGACTATTTCGCCTCTCTAGGTTAGTTTTTATTAGTTATTCTCCAAAACGGTTTTGACTTGATAATTTCATGTTAATTGCAGCTGATTTTAGAAATTTATTCTTCAAAACTTGATCAGCGAAATAGCACCTTACGTGGACAAGCCGAAAAATAGAATAGAAGAAATGCAAAGACGCCAAAAGAAAACATACTCTTCCTCCTCTTAACATCAGAGAATTCCACACCTCTTTGTTTCTATTTAATAGAGAGAAGAGAATTTATTTTATGTACATTATTACAGAATTACATTATTTACTCATGCGGTCGGCCTTACGGGACGGAACAAAAAATTTATGTTCGGGCTCGAGGCAACAGAAAAACTTCTGACAATGACCGTGAATGGTCGAAACATCAACTTTTGTAGAATAAAATTCTAAAATTAGCTGCAATTAACATGAAATTATTTCAAAAATCGTCGCTGACTTGATAGTATTACAAGAATTAAACATTTGAAGTTGCAGTATAATTACAATCAAAAGACAAAACTTACGAGGGAAGGCCA